GAAAGGCGCTTTATCTCTGCCCACACCTTTTCGTTGTCGGAACCAATTCTCTCGAACTCTTGACCGTAATCTTTCCCCGGGCTGCGCCGTTAGATCTCCTCGGCTACCTACCTTCACTGTGGCCGTTTTGGCAGATGGACGCAGCACTGCAGACAAAAGACCCAGTTTGCCCTGAACCATATTCTGGTAGGTCCGTTTTTAATACTTTCAGTCTTCCGTTCCTGATTGTGCTCGTCCAGAAATTTTGCCCACATCTCGCTCTTCCTGTGACTCTTAGTAGCCATATGGTGTTCTCGCTGAGTACGGGAGCCTCTTGCTCACTAGTTTTTCCTCGAAATTTCGTTTGGTTAATCATAGACCCATACAATCCCTCCAACTAACGGGTCTGTTCTCACACAGAGCACACGTTGATACGTGCACGTATCGGATGGAATGAAATCCTGGGTATGCATTTGTTTTTCAGCCGTCACCACGCATCCATTGAGCTATCTTTCGTGGAATCCGTCTCACACGGAGTTTGTTTCGGCTATTAGTGACGGACCGTGCTGAGTTCCTCTAACCTCTAGGTCTGACATTAGTGAGCCGTCACAGTAAACGCTTGTTCGCCTCCTCGAATAGTTTTCTACCCAGTTCGATGTCAACAGCCGATCAGTAGCGCCTGCTCATGTCTTATAGCACTCCCTTGGAATGGGACCCTAGATTTACCCGTCAGCTGCCTCAGCGTATTCCAGTGTTTTATCAAAGAGACCTTGAGATGCTTCAAGATATGTTGGATAAGCGCGTTATTCGGTGATTCTCCTATACCTGGGCGTCGTCTATTTTCATCGTTAAGAACAAGGACCTGCGTGTTGACTATCACAGATTGAAATTCCGTTACTAAATGTGAGTCATTCCCATTGCCTCGCATCGATGACACCACTGATGCGATTTCGGGGGCGGTGTGTTTCTCCAGATTGGACCTTGCGTCTGTATACTGGCAAGTTGACTTTTATCCGGCTGGCCGCGCGAATACAACCTTCGTGATACCTTCTGCCTTTTGGCCTGGCGAACGCGCCGACCACGTTTCAAAGTCTAACCACAACCGTATTGCGCGACTTAACACCGAAGGGCTGCTTGATTTACTTCGAAGGTATTATTGTCCGTAGCACATCTATTGAAAATCACAATGCAAATTTACGAAAGGTTTTATTACGGCTAAAAAGGCTGGCCTCGTGTTAGGAGCAGGTGAATGTAAGCTTTCACATATGCAGACGTAATTCCTCGTGTACGTTCTATCAACTTCGGATATGCATTCAGGTCCGAACACGATTTCTCGCATATTCCAGTAGCCGAAGTGCGTTCGGGAGTTCGCTGGTATCTTTTCGCAATTAATTATGCCGAGGACGCTAGTACATGGCACTATAAATTACAGTCATAGCCAATTCGGACATGTAATCAAAAACGCAAGAAGGAAGCAGCTGTTCACAGGCGCTTCCGGTGGTCAACTGTGCATTGAGATATCATCCTACTGTCATGACTGTTTAATGTGTGCTCAGGCAAAGTCCCCGACCCCATACTACGATCGCGGTCAAAACCTATCGCCGTGGACGGACCCAACCGCAGGATCGTTTTAGACATAATTGGACCACTGCCGACTACGCATCGTGGTAACCGGTTCGTATTATTTATAATCAACTACTTTTCTAAGTGGTGCGAGACGACGCCGTTGCAAAACCAAGACGCGAAATCAGTAGTAACAGCCATTATCACCTATAGGATTAACCGCTATGAGGCACCCACGAAAATGGCGTTTGAAAGCCACCTCTTGGCCCAGCTGTTCTCTGCTCCAGATAAAGAAGACTGGCACCACTCCGTACCACCCAAAAGAGAACGGGCTGATCCAGCGAACGAACAGAACCATTAAGAGAACCCTGTTTACGCTCGTCAACAATGCGTTCGTAGATAGCTGGGACTAGCGCCTGTCCAAGTGTCCGTTAGCATATGGGGCCGCCGTCCGCGGATCGACCGGCTTTCCCCCGGAATTCCTTCAACTTGTTCACGACTTGCGATCTCCGGCAGATATACACTCTCGGCTAATGCCCACGGAGGACATTAGTGTGGGGAAGTAAACCCGAGTTCCTGAGGGAGGTCTCGTTGTAGCCCACAGACTAGTTGCTGCTAACTCAGGAGGCACAACAACACCAGCGAACTTGATACGGCCAACACACAGTCATGTTGGCGATTCTGTGGTACCGTTTAGTCCACGACCCCCTATCGGGGCAGCTAATTAGTTAGGCCCGTACATTATCGTCTGCCAATACTATAGACCTTCGCGATCCGCCGAGGCCCTCTACCGATGTCATCACCGTCTCCTATAATCAAGTCAAGTTGGTGTCCTATTATGCGCCAACTTTTGGTCCTTCTTCATTCCTGTTTGAATTTAATACTTTGAGCCCCTTAGAACAAACGGTTTAGGAACACTGTAGACAGTGTTTCTTATGAAGAAAAAGGAACGTAACGATACAATAAGTTTTCTATTTATTTATTTGCATTATTTTTTTAGGGAAGCCAACATTAAACGCCCAAGCCGACCTGACGGAAGGGAAACCGAATGAACCGGATATTTGAACAGGTACAAGACTACAAAGAAGATGAATGCGCGATTATTGGAACAGCATTTGTATCTGTATCATACAGGAGGCCATCTTCAGGGAAACTGAATGTGCAGCAAGAATTGACCTATTTTTCTGTGCGACTACGAGAAAAGGAGGGCGGCAGGGGGCTCACTTCAGCCCACTTCGTCGTCACGGCTCGCATATTCCCTCCCATTCGTGAGGCCCAGGAATTTTATGCGGGTGTTTTGAATGATCGATTGCTAATAAACGTGTTTCTGGCCAATTTGTCGTCTTCTTACTGTCACTCGTCCTAGTGTCTTGTCTGATGTTCTTTTTATTGTCGATAACCTTGACCGATCGCTAAGCCTCGCTAGACCTTCGTCCGCCCAGCTGCAGCATTATAACGCACCGCCGTTTAAGCAGATTAAAGTATTATTGACGTAGACTCAGGCTGGAGACGATGTGATCGGGTGTCAATGAAGATGCTTTACCTGTCCGTTTTTCGTTTCCATCCAGGGGGAATACTCAACAGGAGCATTACACCAAATACACCCATACGAGTGTCATAGGAGGAGGTATTAGCAATGAATGAAAACGATACCCATAGTAATGAACGTGTAAATAAGTAAGAATGGTACAATACTATAAAGAAGAAGTGTGTTACATGTATAATTGATTAATCTGGGATGGAGGGTGTTCCGTCAGGTAATTTAAATCACCAGCGGAGAGTGCAGAACTGTAGGTAACTTGTAAGTACTAACGTTGCACAGGAGGTACTTGCGGTGAAAGAAGATTGCGGGTAAGAGGGCCAACAGGTGTAAGGGAAAGTGGGAATTGGCATCTTCACCGACACTCGACTACATCATCCTTATACTGAGTGCACCAAAAGGATTTCAGTCAGGTGCGCTATGTGTTACAGCTTGAAACCTGTCGTGGCCCACGTGTTGCGAATGGAGTTTAGTAGGCACCTGCTATGTAACTAGGGTTAAGAGACCTGGATTCTCTATGTTCGCAGTCCTTAAGGAGAGGGGGCTCAAATAGCTCTTCGCCATTGGTCTGCTGAACTTATTTCTGTTCCTTCAGTATCTCCCATACTTCATATTTACTAAAGGTCCCAGTGCCTAGCTTTAGGCGCCGTTCTCTCGCACCTCTCTCCTGGAGTCTATGGGTTTAAACCTGGAATTATATGCCTAGTAGATTACGTCCTTATAACTAGAGTACATGAATGCCTGCTCTCTTAGGCCAGACATGAACATTCTCGTTTTAAGTTCATCCGTTTCAGTTCTCTCTGAAAGTTAAACTTTCACTAAGAACGTTGGAGCCCCTTTTCCTATTAGAAGACTCGGATTTTTCCGCTTGACGCTTTTTCAGTGCTGGAGTTTTGAACATTTCGACCTTCATCGTTTGTCAGATCGGAAACAGTAAGCTGCCGGCGTTGCTGCTACCAGTCTGGAAAGCCCTCACATATTGCAACGCACAATTTACTTATCGCCTACAACCTGCATCCATGGTACTTGTTTGACCTAGTTTATCTTTGACTGCGGTCTTAACGGGCCGCTGACCCCCTATACATTCCGCCTATATTGATCCACGTATTTCTTCGTCCCACATTACGGCTGTGCACGTATTCAGATGGCGAATTGCCCTCAGTATATGAGTACTTAGCTGGAATTCTACCAGTAGCCT